TCAAAGAGATTACCAAGAAACTAAAAGCTCTATCAAAAGCTGGCATAACAGCTTGAAAGAAACTAACGATAGATTATCTGAACTGGAGAACAGATTTGCAAGGTGGGAGCATGAAATGAAAAACTTCTTCAAAATAACAAGAAAACAAACAGCAATAATACAAAGGCTAGAAGATGATAAGAGGATCTATCTTAAGAATTAAGAACATAAAAGAAGAAGTAGGGACACAAACAAATGGACTACAAAAGCTATTCACAGAAATAATCCAGGAGAATTTCCCTAATTTAGCAAAAGGTAAAGATACTCAGATGTATCAGGCATACAGGACCCCAGCCACCTAAACTCAAACAGAGCTACACCCAGGCATATAATAATCAAAATTCCAGAAATCCAATATAAGAACAGAATCCTAAAAAGCCGTCAGAGACAAGAAACAGATCACTTACAAGGGAACACCCATCAGAATTACAGCAGACTTCTCAGCACAAACCATCAAACCACGAAGAGCGTGGGGGGAAATAATTCAAGCTTTGAAAGATAATAACCTCCAGCCAAGATTGATATATCCTGCACAACTGTCCCTAGAAATTGATGGAAAAACAAGGTGCTTCCAGAATAAAGAGGAACTAAGAGAATTTTTTATTTAAAGAGAAAAAGAAAAAAAATAGAAAAAGGGTACAAGTTATACAGAATTTTAATTTTGCTTTAATTTTGTAACTTGAACAACTATTTCTTTTAGATTTTTTTTTGTCTTTTTCATTTTTTATCGGTACCGGGAATCAAACTCATGACCACCTGCTTGCAAGGCAGGTGCTTATGCCGCTGAGCTAAATCCCCAGCCCCAAACAACTATTTCTAAGATGACAATATGTAATCTATTAACTAGTGATTTCCTACTGTTTATTTTTTCTGAAATTCTGTATAACTTGTACCCTTTTTCTGTTTTTTTCTGTTTTTCTCCTTAAATAAAATTTAAAAAAAAATTAAAAGAATAAATTAGAATGTGAATGAAGAAGCAGGGTACAAACAAAGGAACTACAAAGGCTATTCACAGAAATAATTAAGGAAAACTTCCCAAACATAAGAAAGGGAAAAGATATTGAGATGTATGCGGCATATAGAATTCCAGCCACCTACAACCAAAATAGAACTACACCCAGGCATACAATAATCAAAATCCCAGAAATCCAATATAAGAACAGAATATTAAAAGCTGTCAGAGACAAGAAACAGATTACTTACAAGAGAAAGCCCATCAGAATTACAGCAGACTTCTCGGCACAAACCATCAAATCAAGAAGTGCATGGAGCGAAGTAATCCAAGCCCTGAAAGAAAATAACCTCTAGTCCAGATTGATGTAACCTGAAAAATTGTCCCTAGAAATTAATGGAGAAACAAGATGCTTCCAAGATAAAGAAGAACTGGGGGAATTCACAACCACCCATCCAACAGTACAGAGAATACCACAGGACATTCTAAATAGAGAGAAAAGCACCAGGATTTCAGGAACAGTGACAGAGAGGCCCCAATGAATGAAGCAAAAAGCAAAATGAAGAAGACAGACAAACAACTAATGACGGAAAAAGAGCACAACAGAAATGAGGCAGGCAGAGAAGGCTGGATATAATTTCTAATATAGATGGCCTAGATATACTAAATTAAGGAAAAAAAGAGAATCGCAGGCAGAGTGGATTGTCCACTGAGATGCTCTTTATAGGAAATATAATTAACCTGAAGAAGGGTATATGGACAGAAAATCAAATATGAGAAAATAGAACTCTATGTGATATGGAACCAGAGAGTAATAGGGGCAACTGGACCAGGATTTATGGATAGGTTGGAAAGACAGGCTTTAACAGGTAAAGAAGTACAACTAGAGATCAAGCCCAGGAGTGAGAAAGTTCAGAAACACTTAGATAAATAGCAGGTTGTCCCCCCAATATAAAACCGAGGGTGTTGGGGAGACCCAAAAATACTCAGTACACCTTTGGGGAGTGAAAGGGGAGAATAGTCTTAAAAAAGACAGCAGAAGATATTGCTAATGGTGTATCAGGAATTAAAAACCATATTACTCGCACCACTCTGCTTAGATAGAACTTACTCAGTCCCAGTTTGTATATAAGCAGTAGATCTGAGGGCACAGACAGCTATTCCAAAAATATCAGGATAGCACAGTAATCATCTTTAATTTCCTATTCTTAATATGGATCCTTGTATAACTTATACTGTTATATCATGACTGATCTTAGTTAAATCTGATTTGTTTGATTACTGCTTGTTATTAACAGATTTTATTCAAAACTGTTAGGTTGATAGTATCAAGTCAGAGAGTATAGACAACTCCACTGAAAATGACAATAATCTACTATGATACCCATTCTGGTTTGATTACTACCTGTTTTTGTAGTTCTACATTATCTACAAAGTTGTATTTCTATTAATACTGTTATGTACTGATATATTCAATTATACTTTATCTCATGACATAGCCAATTCTATTGATGATAACAAGAGACAACACAGTAACCATGGTAGATCTCCTTGTACAGCAGTTTTATATGCCTTTTTAGTTTTATGAGTCTATAGAAATATGTTTTGTTCTATCCTGCTTTGTTCTGTTTCTCCCTCTAATATAGAAAGGATAGAAATATATGTTAAGACTCACACTTGCATAAAACCTATAAACAGTTTATGAGAACTGATCTTATGACACATGATAAAATGAACAAATACTCTGAAGGAAAAAAAGGCACTATAGTACCCAATGCTGATTCTGGAGTGTCATGATGTGACATCCAGCAATATTATTATACCTTATTCAGAGTGATTTTAGTCTCCTTTGGTTTGTTTAATCTCAACATAAATGAAGATATGGATAAATGCATGTATGTTTAACTGTATAGGATTGATAACTATATAACTAAGTTTTTCTTAGATAGTTGAACAGAACTATTTGCAATCTCCCTGTTTGAATTCCCATTTATATGTTCCACTTTTGTATCTTGAACAATTATTTGTCAGAGGACAATATGTAAACATCAACTAGTGATTTATTACTGTTTATTTTTTCCTTTGAAAGTATGTATTATTTCTACCCTTTTTGTTTTGTCTTTATTTAAATAAAATTTTTAAAAAATTCATTAACTCAAGCATTGCTACAAAGAAATCTCTAGGATCAGATTGCTTTACCATAAAATTTTACTAATCATTTAAAACAGAAATAGTTCTAATTTTATACAAAGAATTTTCTTTTTCTGGTCATGGGGTACTGAACAGAGCAAGCGCTCTGCCCTATACAAGTTATGCCAAGAATGAAAAGAGACAGACAGATGCATAGCAACATTTAACATGTTCTTAACAGTAGCAATAAAGGAAAGGTAGAGACCAAAATTATAAAGAAAATGAAGTGTGAACATAATGTCAGAATAGTGGTTACCTTTAGGTAAGAAGGAGGCAGTTGTAGTTGGAAAAGGGTACTCAGGTGGGTTTCTGAGACCTGACAATGTTCTGTTTTCTAACCTTAGAGGCAGTTTCCACTGCTTCTCCCTCCTTCCCTTTGAATACTAGGGATTGAATTTAGAGACTTTGCAATGAGTTGAATCCCCAGTCTTTCTTTATTTTTGGAGACAAGTTCACCCCAAATTGCTGTTGCCCAGACCAGGCTCAAACTTTGAGATCCTCCTGCTTCTGCCTCCTAGGGTATGGAGATGACACCATCAAGCATTTGCTTTACAATTAATCATTAAAATTCAAGTTTCTGTTTAGTATACTTTACTGCATGTGTATTATAATTCATAATAGAAATGTAAATTTATAAAATCAGTTTCACTTAAGAGAATAATATATTGATATATATACCTATTGATATAAATACTAGCTTTGTGGGGGTATTGTTGGTTTCTTGTTTGTCTCTGCAGCACTGTGGATCAAATCCTTCAAACATGCTAAGCTAGTGTTCCATCACTTGGAAATTATCTTTCAGAAAATAATCTCTTTATTGTCTACTAGCTTCCAAGGTCTATTAACACATACTCTTCTAGAATTAAGGTATATTTTGAAGTAAGGGCACCTGTGTTTTTTTTTCAGTAGCAGAGATCAAATGCTGGCCTTGCACATGATAGTCAAATATTCTACCACTGAGCTACAATTCCAGTCATCTATTCTTGAATATCATATACTCCTAGCATGGAGGGATTATTTTTAAAACCTAAATTTTAATCTTGAGTTTTGAGTGCTTAGGTATTTGAGTAATAGCATACAAAGAGTAACTGATAACTTGTATGATTACAAGGTGTACAACAGATAAGCAAAATGAAACGGTTAATTTCAGTTTTCCTGGGAACTTCTATATGTTTCCTGTCATTAATTGCGTTAATCTATTTATCTTCAATTTTTTCTATTCAGCCTTAGCTCAAAACCTGGGAATCTGTATAGAAAAAGCTTTCACGCTAGCAGGAAATTCTGTTTAGTGATATGAAATATACACAATTTTTATTAAAACCAAGTCATTTAATGTTTCTTCACTAACTATAATAAGAAAGTAGTTGGGGCTGGGGATTTAGCTCAGCGGCATAAGCAACTGCCTTGCAAGCAGGCAGTCGTGAGTTTGATCCCTGGTACCGATAAAAAGGAAAAAGACCAAAAAAAAAGTAGTTAAGTGGGACAGTGTATAGCTCAGTAGTACAGCAATGCCTAGCACGCACAGGGTCCTGGGTTCAATTCTCACCCAGCACCACAAAACAAAACAAGGTAAGTGACAAATAAACACAGTTCAAATTTTCTTTTAAAAACAATTACTAAGTCTATAGTAAACTTTTGCTCTTATGCACTTTTCTAAATGCTTTTTAACATCTCTTTTAAGGTGAACAGTAAGCAACAAAATACAGCAGACTAAAACAATTCTGCCACAATTATTGCACCCTGAACTATCGCTTATACATTGTTACCAATTTGATAAACTATAAAATAAAAGCAATATTTTCATCATAAAATTTCTCACTTTTGGAACATGAGGGTTAAATTCCACGGCTCTATGGATTGCTTCCACAGCACTAATTTCTGCTGTGCTTAGCCCTCTTCTTGAGGCTGTTTCTGGAGAGAATCTGTAAGAAAACCATGAAATGAAGAAATGAATATACCAATAAAAGAAAAATTATGAATTTAGATCATAATGTAGGTCCTGAATCAAAGAGGTTTCTTAGAATGACTAAAGACAAAACCAGGTAACTACTAAAAAGTAAAACCTTCTGGCTCAACATAGAAAATAATGTAACACAAAGAATAAAAATCTTCAAATTTAGGTAAAGAAAGCCTTTGTGGGGAGGTAAGACAGTAAGAAATACTATACAAGAACATACAGAAAATCTCATAAAAAGCAGTACAGTATTTCTTATTGAGTTTTTATGCCAGAAGAAACAGACTGGGCATTTTATCCTTATCAAGCCATAGTAATCTAAAATGAAAGAAAATAGCCACTACTTGTTTGCATCTGAGTATTTGGTTGGTTTTGCTTGTTTATTTTTGAGACAGGATATTGTTAAAGCACCCACTCAGTTTCTGAATGTCTTATCTACAGAATAAATACAATGCATGAAGGGGAGCCAAAACTACAAGAAAAGCAGAGTATTTCAAGCAGATTACTGCATAATTTAAGAACAGACAAAATGAATCCTATTTTCCTTCTACACACCTTATCATCATACCAACTATTATATGTGTACTTTCTTTCTGGACACTGTTTTAAGCACTTAACACATAATCCTTGTGCAACCACCCTAAACTAAGAGAGAAATGCAAAATAATTAACTTGGCCACAGATAGCACACAGTTTCAATTTAAACCCCAGACCAAGTTCTAAAATCTTCTTTCCATTACACACAATGAGAAGCCTCAAAGCCAACGAAGATCAACACTTATTCAAAAAGAAAAGAGGAAAAAGAGCATTGTCCAAAGTTAGTAGAGGAAAAACAATATTCAATCTAACAATCTTTCCAAATTATCATAGTTTGGATAACTACTTACTTATCTGAAACAGTCCTTGTTTTCAACAGTGCTGCTGTGTAACAGATTGCTGCTGACTTTGGAAGGCTTATATCTGTAATAATAATTTTTAATTATTTGCAAAAATGTCTTAAAGATAATTTTTCACAACAATAATTCATAGTGGAAATTCAACAGATATATTAGCAAAGCACCTGGACACATTGTTCAAAGATCTGAGTTTCAGTCTTGATTCTACTAGCTATGTATCCTTGAGCTAGTAGCAACTTCTTCTATCTCAGCTTTTTGTTTTTTCTCTCAAAACAGAATCATACTTTCTGGCAGAAATTCAATTGCGTACCTATAAAAGCCCTCTGTAAAATGATGACAAGCTCTTAAAAAATGTTTGTAATAAACTATTTACAGTAAGACTATTCTGGAGAAAAGCCATAGCATAATTTGAGCTATGTAAAAACTCCACCTACGCATAGAGGAAAAACTGAGAAAAAAATTAAAAATCTAAGGATTTTTACATTTAAAAATTTAAAAAGAAGGGTGATTTTCATTCTTCCATTTCTGTACTTTTTGTTTTTGGATACAAAACCTCAATATGTGGTTCAGGTTAGCCTTGAACTCATTACATAGCCTAGGTTGGCCTTGAACTCGCAGCCATCCTCCTGACTTGGTCTCCCAAATGCAAATATTACAGGTATGCATTACTATACCTGGCTTAGATTTTCTATCTTCTCTATTTTCTTAAATGATCATCTTTAATAAAATGAAAAATTAATCTGGTACTATAAAGAAGCAATAAAATATTTTTTTAAAAAGCCTAAAATATTGTTATAAGAAAAAAAATACTGATGAACTCTTGGAGTTTTCAGTTCCAAAGTTACACTAGCAAATGGAGAATTAAGAAAATAAATATGCTTTCACCTACACTTTAGGATACTGGAAGGTAAAAACTAGGACTCATGAAAACTGAACACAGAAGCATATCAACTTAGCCATTAGTAATTTTTAGTTAGTTTTATTTTTTTTTAATGAAGCATATCCTATTCTGATTTTTTATATTTAGTCCCTAAGCTTGTTCGGTATGAATATCATGGTTATGCACCCAGTAAGTTACATATGGAAGGAATTTCTCACAGATTTCTCTGTGAGCTTACATTATACTGAAGCACTGCCTAAGAATTCCAGATGTTTAAAAGAAATAAACTTCCCTTTCCAAGTATAACATATTTCAAACTTTCCAACACATAAGGATTCCCAAGTTAATGGGTAGGAACTTACAACAGGACAAGTATGACTAAATGACTTATACGTATTCTGTTATAATGAAAGATATGACTAGCAACATTATGGTTGTTATGAAGTTTTCAGTTTGAGGTTAAAAGCTGATGTTTTACTTTAATGAGAAAATTTATGTGTCTTTAAAATTTCCCCAATTTTATTTGCAGTAAATTTGCACTATTACAGCATAATTATAAAAACAACCCATTAAATTTAATTGTTGTTAATGAAAGATTAGTGAACAAAGATGCAGAATACCTCAATTAAATTCAGGTTTGCCATTTACTAGCTGGGAGCTATTACTCAATATTCAACCTTCTTAAACTCCTGTTTCCTAATTTAGTGCTGTAACTGGAAAAAGTAAAAATACTTTTCCTATCACCTCACAAAATTATTACAAGAATCAAATAAGATTATAATTTAAGGTTTGTAACTAAAAAAGCACTGTAAAGATGTTATTGACATGCTCTTAAAATAAGCAACTTCTACTAGTCTTCCTTGATTCTCCAAAACAAACACCACACTTGACTGTGTGTACAGCATCTGTTTTTCTAATTAGCTCACCTAAAAAACTATTTTCAATGTAATTGCTGTTCATTTGTCTACAGGTTACACTAAAGTATAAATCCTACAAGGGCTAAATCCATGTCTTTTTGTTCACTATTGTGTTCAAGTGCCTCACAAATATTAATTACTTAATATAGAAATAAATCTTAATGAATAAATCTTCCTTGTAGGCTTTTGCTGCCTAACGTCCTGATAAAGACACTTAATAGCAACTTTTGCTCATGCATACTAAATACTGACTCATAAAAAGAGAAAGAGAAAATTAGAGAAATACTGGAGTATAATCATATTTATAATTAAATAATTGAAACAAGACTACTGTAACAATGTTGTCAACTAAGACAAATAAAACTCACCATCATATTTTGCTAGGACTGCCTGAACATCCGCATAGGCCTGTAATTCTAACAGTGATTCTAACAGATTTTCATGGATATTCAACATGGTAAGAGGAGGAAATTCTTTCATCAACTGTATATTAAGAGAAAAAAAGATTAAAATCATAATGGAGGAACACAAAAGAGCTGACACAGATTCATTAAGCTAGAAATACTTTTGCTCCTTTATAAAACTTGAGATTCAAACCTTAAGAAAGGTATGTATTTTAAATATTTTACCATAAAAATTACCAATTAAAATTGCAAATTTAACAAAACTGCCAATTTAAACTACATTTTAAGATTTTTGGAGGAAAAAATATAATACTTTTATCAAGTTTACTTACATCTCTCATAATTTTCACTGCTTCTCTTATTCTTCCTAATTTTCTTGCACACATTGCCAATCTTCTTTTAATATATACTAGTACATTGGTATCTCTCCCTATTTATAAAAACAAAAGACAACACAACTATTACTTCTGTGTTATGGTCTACTATTTTAGTAACATATTATGAATTGACTTTATGTGCTTATCCTGGAAAATTCAATTAAAATTAAATTGTGTCACAGTGGAAAAATTAATGATTGTGACTGTTAAATTTGGATGATGAGGGCCAGGGATACCACTCAGTGGCATAAGCCTCTGCCTGGTAAGTGCAAGATTCTAAGTTCAATGCTTGGTCCAAAAAGCAAAACAAAGAACCAAAAAAATAATTTGGATGACGAATCTTTACTTTTGTGTATGTTTGAAGCTTTTTGTATTAAAAGCTAAAAATATTTATGTTGAATTACTTTTGTATCTAATAGAAATCAAAGATAGTATATAAAAAGTAATTTATAGTTGACACATTCATTTTAATATTCACATAAGAGAAATATATGCATTAGTAAAAGATATAACATTATCTTACTCATTTCCTGCATAAACAATCTATAAAATAATATTCTTTTGTTTTAACTGAAAAATTCAAAATTTCCAAAACAAAATTTTCATAGCTATTTACTTTTCTTAACAGCTAGTAACTAACAAATTTTTAAACTGTCTCTATAAAGGGCCAAAAAAATAATAATATTTGATTTTGCACAAGAACAAATGACATGACTTTTTTACAGATGTAGTTTCATTACCATTGGTAAAAATGAGAAACTGAAAATGGAACTCCAGGCTGCAAAATTAAAAATTTCCACAGTTGTGTATAACAACATACATTAATGAAATATACTGTATGCACCAATGCTTTACAGAGAAAATATTGTCCAAGTTTTAATTTCATTAAACATTCACAACTTACCTGGTAACAGACAGCGCACTATATAAACAAATTTCATTTTATCGTCCAGCATTTTTCAAAATCATGAAACTAAAACTCTCTGGTCACAAAAAAACAAAAATCAAAAAACAACCCAGTAGCAGCAGCATTGCTGACTCTAGTTTCTTTGGTTAAAATGTCTTACTTATTCCAGGAATGGTGGCACACACCTGTAATGCCAGCACTTAGGAGGTTGAGGCAGGAGGATCATCAAGAATTTGAGGTCAGTTTTGGCTACATAGTGAGCTGAAGGCCAGTCTGAACCGCATACTGACACCCTGTCTCAAAAAAACAAATTATAAAAAAAGTGTCTCACTTATAACCAGGAGAACATTCCTAAGAATGGAAAGACAACTTTAGTTGTATGGCCCACATGATCCTAAATACGTTATGGAGAAAATCAAGCAAAAAAGGAACCAAAGCCAGAAATAAGGCTAAATTTTGTGCCTAGAATCATATGGTATGAAAAAAGCTGAGGAGCAAAAAAAGATGTGCCTGGGCAGGAGGTAGGAGATGTCCTGAGTGAAGCTGAAGATAAAGGTAAGACTTATCAATAGATCTCAATACTAATTATCATCACTAGAAGGTTCTCCTGAATCCTAAGATTTTTTTTAACTTGCGTTTCTCTAATGACCAGCCCAATTCTTGGATAAAAGAAATTACTATTAAGTCTCAGAGAGTTATTTCCTTTCAATAACCAGAGCAGATGTATTCTTTTCCATAAGCATTCTCTGGCTTATTATATTTCTGTCTTCCTGGCTTGTAGGTGTTCATAGATTAGAAATAACACATGTTTAGTTAAATCTTATGAAAATAAGCTAACCCTGCCATATTGTTTTTAATTATTATTTTGTGTTTTAGACATAAAAGAGCCAATTATAGGAAATAAAAGATAGTAAAAATCAGTTCAAATTTGCTTACTCAGTTGAGCTTCATGCTGAGGACTTTGGTGCTGGCACTGCTGTGACCGCTTATAAATTGTTTCTCCTGCCTTGAGCGCCTGTTTAAATAACCTCTCAGCATCTACAATAGTTGTTGCTTCTTCTTCAGCCAGTAGAACATACGCAGTGGCACAGCTACGGAGAAAGCAAGCAAGGCAATTTTTAAGTAAAATAGTAAAGCAAAAATTTTCTCTAGGGTATATCCTTTGCTCTATATCACATTTCCCTTACACTCACCAACACTTTTCATGTCTTGAACAAAAAAACAAAAAGAAAAAATCCTTTCAATATTTAAATTATTCTGGACATGATATATTCATTATGTCTAGTTCCATAATTTTCCACTATTTCTCTTCTACTCTTTACTTTCTACCTTTAAAAAATTCCATTTCCATCATCCTTCGTCTTGTGTTTTCTTTTTGTGGAAAAGAGTACATATAAAGCATTGTCTGGAAAGCAGTACACTTCAGTGATCATACCTCCTCTTAGTCACTACATACTATCCACCTCATGTGGGCATCTATGGGAAACAGTGAGGACTGAGAAAAACAGTACCTTTCATAGCTGACTCAGAAACATATCCCAAGGCCAGACTTTTCCTTCAATCCTGAGTACTCCCTTTGCATGTGGCCTATTTCCCTTGGAATAATCCACATAGTATGTGGCATAATTTCCGTTGGTCTGAATTCCAGTCCTTCCTTCAGTCCTCCTACTCCCCTTCCTTACACCTGCACAAGTTTGATTTACTCTACTAAACCAGAGATTCTTCCTTGATATCTTTTAACAGATGATTAATAAGACAAACTAATTCTTGTTTTTATGCAAAAAATTAAAAAATACAAACAGCAATTTTCTCTTCTATTCCCAGAGATACAACTGAATCTCTTCTGGGAACCATGTCAGTTCTGATGACCAATGCCTGCATTATCCAGCATTCTAGTCAGTAGCTGCACGTTGCTATTCTGGTTTTTCTTTTTTCATTTTCCTTTTTCTTTTTTTGTACTGGGAATTGAACTCATGACCTTGCACTTGCCAAGCAGGTACTTATGCCACTGAGCCCTTATGTTGCTAGTCTGAATTGAGATGTGATGTAAGTGTAAAAGGAACATGGAATTTTGAGGACTAAGAAGAATGTAAACTATTTCATTAATAGTTTACATTAATGTCTCTCAAAGACTCATCTACTCATCTTCAGATACGAATCTAGAAGATGACTGGATCAAGAGGATGCTACCCTCATCAGTGAGTTAACCCACTGATGAGTTCATTCATAGATGAGTGGGCTATTAGTGGATAGGGCTTAGTTGGAAGAGTTAATAGGTCACCAAGTGCATGTGTTTGAAGGGTGTATGCTTTTTGGCTCTTTTCCTATGTCTTCTGTCTGTCTGTCTCTCTCTCTCTCTTTCTGTTCTTCCTAGCTGTCTTCAAATGAGTGGCTTTCCACTGTCTTACCCTTTTGCCATGATGTTTCTGTGTCAGCACAGACCTAGAAGCAACAGAGCTAAGTAACTATGGAGAGAAACCTTGGAAATGGAAGTCAGAATAAACAGTTCCTCTTGATTTAATCAGGTATGCGGGACACTGACTAGCAATAGTTTTTTGTTGTTGTTGTTTGTTTGGTTTTTTTTGTACTGAGGATCAAACTTACAACGTAGTGCTTGCCAGGCACTATGCCACTGAGCTAAATCCCCAGCCCCAATAGTTTTATAAATATATGTTAAAACAACATTTTAATATCTTTTTTTTTTTAATCGGTACCAGGGATCGAACTCATGACTGTCTGCTTGCAAGGCAGGCGCTTATGCCGCTGAGTTAAATCCCCAGCCCCAACATTTTAATATCTTAAACATAGCTAAATAAAAGTTTTTTTTTACATTTTAAATATGTCTACATACTAGAAAATTTAAAGTTACATGTACGGTTCACATTAATTTCAGTTGAGCAGTGCTGATCTAAGCAAGAGAAAAGAGTGGTAAAAGTACAAGGCCAGGCAGGATACAAAAGTGCTGGCAAGACAGCTATCATTGATTAGGATCAATAAGAGTCTTTCAGTTATGGATAGGCCATTTAGAGAGCCTTCAAGCAACATATCTAAACTATTTGATAATCTCACTAGTCAGCAAGGATTTCTCCAGTATATTATGCTAGATTTTTATGAAACATACATATACTTCTTCAAACATTGGGCATCCTGACTTCCATTTCCAAAAACCATGTCAAATGTTTAAATAACTGTAACAAAATACTTTCTAAATAACCATAACAGAATACTTTTTAAACTATCTAGATGGATAAAAAGTGATGTAATAAGAGTCTAAATATAAAAAAATTTATTATTTATCATTTTAAAAGAGTTAGGAATTGAAACCAGGGACGTGCTTATACATACTGGGCAAACACAATACTACTGAGCTGTATCTCAGCCCCTAAATACAATTTTAAATTATATTACAGCTGCATAGTACAAAGATTTTCTTCCCTGAAGATTTTCTTGCATTTATTCTTGCATTTGGAGATTTTAATATAAGAAATTATGAATTTCAAATGAATGTTACTTTGCAGAATGTCATTTTCTTAAATTTACGTTAAGTTTCCATACTAAAATTTGCAATTTAGAACTTTTTTGGGGGGGATTCCTTATCAGACAGAGTTTCACCATGCAGTTCAAACAGCCTTGAACTCACTTTGTAGGTCAGGTTGGCCTCGAACTTGCAGCAACCCTCCTGCCTCAGCCTCCTGAGTACCAAGACATGTGCCAAGTTTACAGCATTTTGAAGTGCACAATTGTGAGACTTCCAATGTATATTCCACATTGTGCAGCTATCACTGCCCCAGAACTCCAAAACATCTCCATCATCCTTGCAACAGTCAATCCCCATCTCCCATTTCCTCAGTCCATGGCAGTCACAAATCTATTTTGTCTTGATAGTGTCCTTTGATACACAAATTATTTTAAGTTTGATAAAGTCTAATTTATCTTTTTTATTTTATTCCTTCTGCTTTTGATATCCTATCTAATTAGCCACTGCAAAATTCAAGGTCATGAAGATGTAATATAGGTTCTTCTCTCTCTCTCTTGGTTTTGTTTTAGTGGCAGGAGACTGGACACATACATGGTAAGGGCTCTATCACTGAGTTGTATTCCAAGCCCTTTTATGTTTTGAGACAGAATCTCACTAAATTACCCAGGGTGGCTTTGAACATGCAAGACTTTTGCCTCAACCTCTTGCAATGAATCTGTAGATCTGCTTGGTGAGTACTGACATGAACAGGGGATGTCTTTCCATTTATTTAGGTCTTCTTTAACTATTTGAACAATGTTTTATATTTTTCACTGTAAAAGCCTTGCACCTCTTTAGTTAAATGTATTCCTAAGTATCTTAATAGTTCTGATATTATTTTAAGTAGAATTGCAAATTGTTCATTGCTAGTGTACTGAAATATAGCTAATTTTTATATATCGAGCTTGTTTCTTGCAATAGTTGAAACCATTTTTTTCTTTTCCAATGCTGAAGATAAAACTCAGGACTTCAAATATGCTAAGCAAATGCTCTCCCCACTGAGGTACATCTCCATCCCATTTTTAATTCTTTTATTGATTCTTACAGGATTTTTTTCCTACATGGGTTTTTAAAAGATTTTGTACATATAAGATCATCTTATTTGTGAACAAAGATAGCTTTACCTATTTTCCAATTCTGACACCATTTTTTCTTTTTCTTGCCTAACTTCCCTGGCTTTCTGATCTTGGAAAGTTTTTAGCCTTTTACCATTAAGTATATATAGTAGTGAGCTGTAAATATTTCACAGATGTTCTTTATCAGGTTGAAGAAGATTCCTTAACTTTTTTGTTGTTGTTGTTGTTCTTGAGACAGGATCTCCCTCTGCATTCGGGCTGACCTTGAATTCACTATGTAGCCTAAGCTGGCTTCAAACTCACAGCAAGCCTCCTGCCTCATGAGTACTGGGACTGCAGGCATGAGCCACACCTGGCCATTAATTGATTTTTTTTTTTTTTTTTTTTTTTTTTTGGTGCTGGAGATCCAACTCATGACCTTGCGCTTCCCAGGCAGGCGTTTAAGCCACTGAGCTAAATCCCCAGCCCCTTTTTTATGTATTTTTATCATGAAAAGGTGTTAATTTTGTCAAATGCTTTTTCTGCATTGAAATGATCATGTAGTTTCCTTCCTTTATTCTGTTAATGTGGTGTTACTACACTAATCAATGTTTCATGTAAAATCATTCTCTTTTTTTTAACAGGTACTCTTTCAAGACTCTTACAATAATGGAGAGAGATTGAACTCAACCCAGTTATAGCAGGGCAGGGGGGACTTACAGCCCACAGTACATGGAAAATTACTGAAGAACTTAGCTAGGTGTCTAGGTAAAAGGATTCTCGCTAACCTGGCTAAACTCATTCAGAGGCTTCTCTGTGATGTTGGCTGAAGCAGTATCATGTTCATCTAGAAGTTTTCTGTCTTGCAAGTCTGCCCCTTTCCTGATCCTCTGGCTACTGAGAACAGGCTTTTGTTGGGCTTTCTTTTGTTCATGGCTGTTGGTGTCTCTGGCACCCAGTCTGGGACATACTAGGCAAAGGGAAATTGGAGCTCAGCTTTGTGATTTGTGTCCTACAGTCCAGTCACCAGTCTCTTTTCCTCTATCTACCTTTCGGTCTTCTTATGTTGGCAGTATATACAAGATCCAAGGTTTCATTGTACTCACTACGTGTCTAAAACACTGAGTTAGTGTTTTTTTTTCAAATTGAAGAATGAATTCTAGGAAAAACAGGGGTTAAGAGTAGGAAGAATTTATTGAGAGAAAAAAAAGCTTCAGTCTAAGAGTGACAGAAGGAGGCCCGAAAAGTGGATTTCCCCCATTCTTGCATTCCAAGAATAAACCCCACTAGATCAGGGCATGTAATTCTTTCAAGATGCTTTTGGATTTGGTATGCTAGGATTCTGGTTTGGGCCATTATTTCCTAAAATATTATTTCTGCTCTTTTTTCCTCTCTTTTCTAGAACTCCCATTATGCATACGTAGTTATGTTTGACAGTCTGTGACTGGTCTCTTGGACAGTTTCTTTTTCTTCATTTCTTTATTTTTTCTTCCTTCTTAGACTAGATAATCTCAATTGATCTTATTCAAGTTTACTGATTCTTTCTCAAATCTGCTACTGAACTGTTACAGTAAATTTTTTCATTTCAGTTATACTTTTCAATTTCAAAAATTAAACTTTTTTTTTTTTTATTGATGTCTCCAATGGTGAGCCATTACCTTCATTCTTTTCATTACCTCTTTGAACATACTGAAAATAGTTTATGTACAGTCTATGGAATCTAAACTAGGCTTCATCAGTTTTTAATCATTTGCTTTCTTTCTGGTACATGAACCACAATATATTTTGGCAACACTAGAGATCAGATTTCCTCCATTTCCTTTTTGTTGCTGTCTATTGTAGTTGTTTGTTTAGTGACTTTTTTAAAGGCAATTTTATTAAAATCTATGTTCTTTGTCATGTGTGACAATGAGATCTGTGTTCTCGGGTTAGTAGTCACTCAATGTTTTCATAGAAATTCCCTTAAATACCTAGAGCCAAAACAAACAAAACACACACAAAAGCAGTACTTGCCATGGGGTCTGTGTGTGTGTGTGCTGGGTACATCAACATTTAGTCAGGCAGTTTACAACTCTGCTGTAGCCTTCATTTCTTGCTTATACACTATCTGAAGGTCAGCTAGACATGAGAGCCTCAGGTGTTTTCAAGTCTTTTCTAAGCATAGGCTCAACTTTAGCCAAGTATAGAGCCTCTGAGAGTCCCAAGAACATATGGGAGCTTTTCAAAGTCTTCCCTCTAAATGTCACATAAGCTTTCTGGTTTGTCTATTTTTTTTCCATAGCTATGATCTCTTGTTATAGGCAGCAGCAGTGGCTAATATATTTGCCTATAAATGTTTTCAATAAATGTTCCCCAAGTAGAGTAAATTCAGTGCTGGGGACAAGTTCAAGTTAGTTGAAATAAAGGCAAGCTCCTTGAGCTGGCCTTTCAGGTAGCCACCTCACGGGTCAAAATAACCACAGTTCCTTGAGAATAAGGTCCATTTTACTCCCTCCAGCACTAGAAACTTACATTTAGAATGTGCACAATTGTCAAGGCTTCCACTGAACTAGGCAGTGAAGGATGGAGCTAGAGTAAGTTAAAAATACTTACAGAAACTCAGTAATTTTTCTCTAATTAAGAGCTAACCAGGTTATTGTAAACTTTTGACTATGTGATTATGACAGCTCTTGTCGGTTTATTCACTTGTTTTGGAATTTGCTGTTCCTCCCATTTTTGTTCCACTTTTGGAAGGTCTTCTTAATGAAGATAATGTATCTATTAAGGGTTTCAGGGCAAACTAAATTCACAATATCTGGGAAGCACTCCTTGAATGATCCCAATTGGGATTATACTTTTACTCTTTGCATTTATTTAGTATACATTAGATTAATATTTATTAATCTGTCCCATTGAAATACTATTGATTCATAATTTTACATTTATTTTCTCAAAATATAAAGCTGATACAAAGAGCTAAAAATAAATTCTTAGAATATGAAATAGCAAATAAGTTGACAAAGCTATAGTTTCCTTTTTTTTTTTTTTTTTTTTGTACCAGGAATTAAACTCAGGATCTTGCACTTGCTAGGCAGGTGTTGTGCTGCTGAGCTATAACCCTGGCTCTGGTTTACTTATTTTGAATCCTCTTATTCCAACTTCAGTAACCACTAAGGTTTATAGGACTCAATGAATGCTTTAAATGACAAGCAAAATTAAAACAGTAGGATAAGTATTTCAGTATCCTTTTAACAATTAAGTATTATCATTTCTCCATAAGTATTCTCCAGCTTAAAAGGAATCCCTAAGGTTGGGGATATAGCTTAGGGTGCCTGTCTGGCAAGGTCAAGGTGCTGAGTTCAATTCCTGGTATAAAATAAAATAAAATAAAAAAGAATACCTAATTTCTACTTAACATATAAACTTACAGTTGCAAAAGCGAAATTCAATGAACACTGCAAATTTTATCTCTACAATTCTAAAAGAAAAAAATGATACTAATGGCTCCAAGTGACTTAGGAAACGACAAAAGAAAATGTAGAAACAACAGTTAGCCTGGGTTGATTTAAAGCAAACTTATTTTTCATATATTTAAAACTTACTCATTGTTTAATTCTAAAGCTTGATAGGCTGCTTTGATTCGAGCTGGAGGATTTCTTTCCCTCCATGCCTTCTGCATAACTGTAGGAAAAATATTTCAAAAAGTGAATGAGATGGTAAACATAAGTAATCTTATGCAAAATGTATGAAGAATGAGCTAAGGGAGTAAATAAAGTTTTAAACACCGTGTTCTTAAACACATAAAACAATAAATTAGGTTACTAACTCACACTAACCTTGTGAAAAATTTACATTAAATTTGTAAGTTTTACAGATAATATTCTTTTTTTTATTTAAGTGAATACCATCAGTTATTTAAGTTAATTACATCATTACTATACAAGTACATTTATACATCTAAATGCATGTTAAAATTAAGGGTGAGTAACATTACATTATAATCAATATGAAATACTACAGTTCTACTTTTATCTTCCTGAAAAGATTCTATGGAATTGCTAAAGTTATATACAAACTTAAAAACAAAGTCTGTCTAATCAATGTTCACTCGAGGAAGAATGTATGGATCTGCATTTTATATGAAAAGCAAGCAGACAGATTTAATTAATTTAGAATATAGTATACCTCTGGAAAACATTAGCTCTACTGAGATTCAACAAAAGCCTGAAGAGGATTTTTCTGGAATATTAGTTGTGCTACCACTTACAGTACCAACATGAAAATACAACATTAAGCAACATCTCTTAAAAGTTAACCAAACAAGTAAAATAAGAATCATGAAACTATCTGGTCTATTTTAAGTTTGATAAGGAAAAAAAGGGAACGTATAAGTGTTGATTTTGGAACAAAGCCCATGACTGTCCAGAGAGAATAATGTGGAAAATGCTTGAGTTTTCCTTTGGAAACAAAATATTAGTCTTGGCTTAAAAAAGGAGACAATATATTTCACTGTATAATAAAAATACATTTGTCATATCAAATATGTCACCAGCTAGCTGACAGCTAATGCTTCCTGAGCTTGACAAACTGATGCAAGTCAGCACCAATCTGATACTGACCAGGTAAAGTACATCGTTCTGCTGGAACACTAAAATAGTACATAAAAAAAAGTTCAGAATTAAACTTGTGATTTTTGAACATGAGGATCTTTTCCAAAAGTTTAATGATATTTATAAGCCAAATTTTAACAATGAATCTTTTACCAACATCTTATATGGTTAAAATAGTCTAGTTTATTAGTATATATCATAATTTATTTAACCAATTCCCTTTGGATGGACAACTAAAGCTATATCCAATGCTTTGATAATATAAAAACTGTGATAGCTGAGCATGGTGGTACATGTCTGAATTCCTGAACTGTAAGAGGCTGAGGTGGGGCTGGGGATATAGCTCAGTGGCATAAGCGCTTGCCTGGCAAATACAGAGCTGTGAATTTGATCCCCAGTACCAAAGGGGGGAAAAAAAAGGCTGAGGGAAGAGGATCTCAAGTTCAAGTCCTAACTAGGCAATTTAGTGACTTAGAGTTCCAAATGCACAAAGTTTTAACCAAGGGTAGTGGCACACACCTATAATATCTGCACTTGGCAGGCAGATAGCAGCAAGTTTGAGGCTAGCCTGGGCTATACAGTGAGTTCAAGGTCAGCCTATAGTACAAACCAAGAACCTATCTCAAAAAAAAATATTTTTTCCCCCACAGCACTAAGGATGTAGCTCAGTGTACAGTGCCAGGGTTTAATCCCCAGGACCCCAAAAGTAAAATAGCAAGATGATGACACTTTCAATATCTTTAGCTGACCGAATACAGTGATATTTTGATTGCTGAATGGCTCCAAAACTCAAAATTTTACTACTCAAACTGCAAAGTTTGAAGAAAAAATGTGCTCAGTGTTCATAACTTTGCTTGGTAGTTGGACTGCAAATCTGACTTGAAAAAAACCTATACAAGCCAAGAGTCATCAAAATCCAAAATTTTAAATAATCTAAAATCCAAAACATGAAACCATAAATGGAAAATTCCACACCTGATCTTATGCAATGGATGATAGTCAAAACATGAGCATACTAAAAGTATTGTATGGAATTACTTTTAAACTATAAGTCCTGTTATGACTTTAGCTGTGCTGTCCTGAATGCCTTGATATCCTAAATCAATTAAAAATGTTTACCCTACATAGTCATTTTGACTTTGGGGAAGACCCAAAAGCTGCACAGCACCAGATTCAGTAAATAAGTTAGATGAAGACATATCTGTTTTACTTGACAGAAATTACTACACATACTTTTGAATTGATTCAGGACATTAAGCCAGCCACAAAAAATAAAAAACAAACAAACAAAGAAACATTAATGAAAGGATTTACAGCACTGCTTCAGAAAGGGTAAAGGGGCTGGGTTGGTGGTACATGTCTGTAATCCCTCCACTCTGGGGACTAAGGCAGCAGGATTATTGGAAGTTTAAGGCCAGCCCAAACTACACAACAAGACTGTCTCAAGAAACCAAAAACTAAAGTGGAGAGAGTGATGGAATAACTCAACAAATATATGGAAATTGAACAAATACTCCTGAGCAATCAGTGGGTCACAGAGGAAATTAATATCTCTAAGCAAGTGAAAATACAAATACATCTTAATGGAACCTGTGGGATGCAATGAAAGCAGTCCTTAGAGGAAAATTTATTGCAGGGAATTCCCACATCAGGAAAACAGAACGAACGCAAATAAACAACCTGATGCTACATTTCAAACATCTAGAAAAATAAGAGCAAGTCAAGCTCAAAGCCAAAAGAAAGGAGGAAATTATAAAGGTCAGAACAGAAATCAATGCAAGAGAGACTAAGAAAACAATACAAAGAATCAATGAATCAAAGAGTTGAATCTTTGAAAGAATAAATACAACTGATAAGCCCCTAGCCAACCTTATTTTAAAAAAGGAAACAAAAAACCCATATTCATGCAATAAGGAATGAAAAGGGTGAGATCACTACAGACCTTGTGGAAATATGTATTTAGGAAACCTATACTCTCATAGGCTTGATAACACAGAATAAATGGATAGATTCTTAGAAACATATGAAGTACCAAAGCTAGGTCAAGAAGATGTAAAACTGCTGAATAACCCAATTTCAATTAAAAAAATTGAAAATGTAACTATATCCTTACCAACAAAGAAAAGCCCAGGTCCAAACAGATTATCACTGCGGAATTCTACAAGAAATTTAAAAAGATTTTATGCCGGCACTCTTCAAATTCTTCAATGAACTTGAAAGGGAAGCAATTCTCCCTAACTGGAAGCAAATATTACTCTAATACCAAAACCTGAGAAAGACCCAACCAAAAAAGAGAACTACAGGCCAATCTCCCTAACAAACATAGATGCAAAAATCCTCAATAAAATACTGGCAAACAGAATGCAGCAAATCATCAAGGAGATTATTTACCATGACCAAGTAGAATTCATCCCAGGAATGCAGGGATGGTTCAACATTGCAAATCAATAAATGTAATTCACCATATCAATAGAGCCAAAAATAAGAACCACATGATAATTTCTATAGATGAAAAAGCAGCTTTTGATAAGGTCCAACACATATTCATGATAAGAACCTTACAGACAATTGGAACAGATGGTCTTTACCTCAATATGATAAATGCCATCTATGATAAACCAACAGCCAGTATCATTATAAATGGCCAAAAACTGAAAGCCTTTACCCTAAAATCAGGAACAAGACAAGGATGTCCATTGTCACCACCCCTATTCTATATAGTGCCAGGAATACTAGCCAGGGCACTTAGACAAGAGAGAGAAATAAAAGGAGTAAAGATAGGAAAAGAGGAAGTTAAATTATCATTATCTGCAGATGACATGATACTCTACATGGAAGACCCCAAAACTCCATTGAAAGATTCCTAGATTGAATAATTCAGCAATGTAGCTGGATACAAAATCAATACTCAAAAATCAATAGCATCCCTGTACACTAACAACAAAACCACTGAGAGAGAAATGAGAAGCCACACCCTTTACAATAGCATCCAAAAAAATGAAATACTTAGGAATCAATCTAACAAAAGAAATAAAAGATCTATTCGAGGAAAATTATAATACCCTGAAAAAGAAATTGGAAAGACATTCCTTGTTCATGGATAGAAAGAACAAACATTGTGAAAATGGCCATTCTCCCAAAATTGTTACATAGATTTAATGGAATCCCAATCAAAATATTACTAGCATATCTCACAGATCTAGAGAAATCACTCCTAAAATTCATCTGGAACTACAAGAGACCTAGAATAGCAAAGGCAATTCTAAGCAGCAAAGGCAAGGCAGGAGATATCACAATCCCTGACTTGAAGTTATACTACAAAGTAACTGTAGTAAAATCAACATGGTACTGGAATAAAAACAGAGCTGAAGATCAATGGAATAGATTAGAAGATACAACTACAACTACAAACACACTCAGCCACCTTATCTTTGATAAAGGGGCCAAACATGTCCAATGGAAGAAAGATAGTGTCTTTAATAAATGGTGCTGGAAAAACTGACTCTCCATATGATGAAAACTAAAACTAGATCCACGCCTATCACCATGGAGTAAACTAAAGTCTCAATGGATCAAAGAGGTAAATATTAAAACAGAATGGGCATTTGAGATGAATACACAGTTCTCAGATGAAGAAATACAAATGGCAAATAAATACATGAAAAAATGTTCAGCATCACTGGTCATTAGAGAAATGGAAATTAAACAACTGAGGTTCCATCTCACTCCAGAAAGCATGGCCAGGATAAAGAAAACTACCAACAACAAATGCTGGAGAGCATGAGGGGGAAAAAGAACTCTGCACTGTTGGTGGAAGGGCAGATGGTGCAATCACTGTGGAGGTCAGTCTGGAAGTTCTTCAAAAAGATGGGATTGGAAGTCCCATTTGACCCAGCTATCCCACTTCCAGGCATATTCCCAGAAGAATTAAAAACATCATATCACAGTGATATATGTGCACCCATGTTTAAAGCAGCACAATTTGTAATAGCCAGGAAACAACCTAAATGGCCATCAACTGAGGAATGGATGAAAAAGATGTGGTATTTTTATATAATGGAGTATTACTCA